TGGAGCAAAGAAAGCCTTTTATAAAATCTAACACAGCTTCATGATGAAATTTCTGGAGAATCTAAGGATACAAGGAACATGTCTCAATAATAACAAAAAGGCAATAAAGAAGTTCTTTATCAATGTCACACAAATTGAGAGAAACTCAAAACATTTCTACTAAAATGAGGAACAAGACAAGGGTGTCCACTCTCTCCACTCTTGCTCAATATAGTATTATAAGTCTGAGATAGAGAAATAAAACAAGAAAATAGATAAAGATGATGCCAGGCCTAGTGGCTCTCTCTCTCTCTTCCTGCTGCTTGTGGATCCAGATGTATAATGATCAGCTCATTCTGCAATCCCATGTCTGCCTGTGTGCAGCCTTGCTTCCTGCCATGACAGTATCGAACTAAACTTCTGAAACTGAAAGCCGGCCCCAATTAAATACTTTCTGTTATAAGAGTTGCTGTGATTGTGGCATCTATTCATAATGAACACTAAGATAATAGTGTAGAAGCTTCCTAAAATATGCATACACACACAAATACACACACAAATACACACACACATATGTATTTATATACAAATATATGTATATGTATATATGGTTTATAATAGAGTCGCAATGCTTCTCCCAGAAACCATAGCTATCAAATAAAAAGTCCAGTGCCAAATATGTGTTACCTCTTTTTTAGTTGTTGGTTGGCAGGGTTCCATAAACTCTACCCTGATAACACAAGCTGTTGCCATTGCTCTTGATTGCCATTCAAAAATCTACAGTAAAACCCTACGTCTGAGGCCAGCCTAGTCTAAAAGCAAGTTCCAAAGCTACAGAGAAACCCTGTCTCCAAACAAAATAATAATAATAATAATAATAACAATAATAATAACAACAACAACATTTGGATGGTTTAGTCTGATAGTGCACATGGATATACATGCATATGTGTGTGTATGTATGTACATAAGTGTGTGTATATGTATATTTACATGCCCAAAATGGAGCGGGCACACAATGGGGGAAGACATGCACAAAGAATGTCAGTTGGTGGACCTAGAAAATGTTGCCTTTTTTTCTATTTTTTGTAGGTTTAATGGTTTTTTTATTTTAAGAAAAGTATATGGACAGATGAAAAATCTCATTTGTTCATCCTATTGATTATGTGATGTAAATAAGATCTGCTTATGTATGTGACAGGCAGCTTGTCATTTCAAATTTGCAAGCATAATTTTCCCCTTCCTTTGGCATGCCCACACCAACATGGTCGTCTGTATATTGTCCCTGTTCTGACAGGATACTCTTGCTGGGTTGGTTCCTGTCAGACTCACTAATTTTTATAGAACTGGGCTTTGTCTCCGGGCTCCATCACCCCTGGATGAGAGTGCCCTCATCCCAAGGAGCTCTTCTTTTATTTCCTTCCTGTTTTGATTTCCCATGAGTTTTGCTAGTTCTACAAAGCATCAAAGGAGATATTTTAAGAAGTATTTTATATAACCCAAAGAAATATTTTTGCAGCTATACCTAGCTCAGGATATCTGTTCTTCTACACAGTTAGTTATCTCTTCTTGGTTATGACCATTCTATATTATAAATATAAATATCAATGACTATACATTCCATACTTTACTATCTGAAGTCCTAGAGTTTTTTGTTTTGCAAAATTGTCAAGCCATGGAATCAGGCTGACCTGGACTCATTGAATAGCCCAAGTAGCCTCAAACTTTAAATCCCTCTACTTTATGTCTTAGGTCTTAGCCTCCTAAACTTTGGGATTATAGGCATTATCCCACTACTTGTGCTCTTTCAGTAAGTGGAGTTTTAGACAATCAGCTCATTTTTCTGAAGGAGCAAGTACTACAGCTTGGTTCAAGGCTTATGTCTCAGAATATGAGACAGAAACTCAGGATATTATTACCTTGCAGTCTATTCTTTGTGCTACAGGCTGTCTCTGAGGTTGCTGGGCCAGATGAACCTGATGGCTTGCTCTTGCCCTTATTTACCAGGGCTGAAGAGACATTCATCTACAGGTGAGTCTCCAGTTTCACTGAAGAGACATTCATCTACAGGTGAGTCTCCAGTTTCACTGAAGAGACATTCATCTACAGGTGAGTCTCCAGTTTCACTGAAGAGACATTCATCTACAGGTGAGTCTCCAGTTTCACTGAAGAGACATTCATCTACAGGTGAGTCTCCAGTTTCACTGAAGAGACATTCATCTACAGGTGAGTCTCCAGTTTCACTGAAGAGACATTCATCTACAGGTGAGTCTCCAGTTTCACTTTTAGGGGATCTTTAAATTTTTATTTAATATGTTAGGTATCTTATTTTTACGCATGTCAATGCACCATGTACTCTCCCAGTGCCCAAGGAGGTCAGAAAGGGGTGTTGAATGCCCTTGGACTAGAATTACAAAGAATTGAGATGCTCTTAACCCTACGGGGACCACTTTTCTCCAGAACCCCTTGATAAACCCAAGTTTGAGCCAAGCCATTTATTTCTAGTTCCCTGTGCTGCAAACTCTTCTGATATGACCTTCATGGCATTGAAAACCTGGTTGGTAAAGAATGCTAAAAGTAAGCCGTGCGGTGGTGACACATACCTTTAATCCCAGCATTTGGGAGGAACAGGCAGATCTCTGTTGGTTCAAAACTAGCCTGATCTACAGAGTGAAGCCCTGTCTCTAAAAATAAAAACCAAAAAAATAATAACAACAAAAAATGAATGCTTAGAGTGGGAGAAATAGTCTTACCCAGAGACCCACTCTCCTCCTCTCCTCTCCCCAGTTGGTTTTTCAATACAAGTGGTAACCCTGAAAACATACACACAAGTAACATTATAAAATAACTGGGCTGACAGAACCTGCAAGCAACCTAGATGGCCCTCAACTGAAGAGTGGATAGAGAAAATGTGGTACATTTACACAATGGAATGCTATTCAGCAGAAAAAAAAAATGGAATCTTGAAATTTGCAGGTAAATGGACAGCACTAGAAGAAACCACCCTGATTGAGGTAACCCGGTCCCAAAAAGGCAAACATGGTGCATACTCACTCATATATGGATTTTAGACATGGATCGGGAGAGCACCAGCCTACAGTCCCACTGCCAGAGAGTCTAGGAAACAGAACCTTCATCCAGTGACTGATAGAAGCAGAGGCAGATACCCACAACTAAACACTGAACTAAACTCCTGGAACCCAGTGACAGAGAGGGAGGACCGATGAGCAAAGGGGTTAAGACTGGCCTGGTGAAACCCAGAGAAACAGTTGACCTGAACAATGGGGAGATTGCACCCCAGACTGATGGCTTAGAGGCCAGCATGGAACTGATCCAGACTCCCTGAATGTGGATGTCAGTGAGGAGACCTAGGAAATATATCGGGCTTTGGGGCCTAGATCAGTAATTATCCCTGGCATACTTTGGGTGCCCATCCCACAATGAGGGATGCTATCTCAGCCTGGACTCTTGAGGGAGGGCCTAGGCTCTGTCCTGAAGGAAATGACAGACTCTGAAGATCTCCCATGGAGGGCCTCACCCACCCTGGATGACTGAGTGGGGATTGGGTGGGGAGCTGGAAGGAGTGGTGGGGTTTGGGGGAGGAGGGGAGGGAGAGAGAGGGAGCTGGGGTTGACGTGTGGAGCAAGCTTGTTTCTAATTTAAATAAAAAACTTTTCAAAAAATAACTGGGCTGATTGCTAGTGCAATGATGTCATATAATGGGGGCCTGCCACTTCTGAAAATGGACTCACCTCAGATCCACCCATGATAAGCAAGTATAGCTTGCTTCCTGCTCAGCCTTCATCTATTGCTACAGACATAGCCTGGCCTGTGAATCCCCTGTCAGAAAATGATACTGGTACCCAACCAGCTCTGGGGGCGGGGTTTCATCCTGGACTTCTCTGGAAGTTCCAGGACAATCCCCCCAGATCCACCCTGCATCACAGCTGAGCCCCTCTAGAAGCTCTGACTCAGGAATCCCTGCAGATGGCTGGGCCCATGTCATCTTCCTGTGAGTCTGTGAATGCCCCAGCACACCACAGATAAGACTTGCTTCTTAACCCATCGATTTACTATGTCCTTTGCTCTTTTGTGTGTCTCCATGCCAGGGTAACAGAACTAGAGGCCTCTTTCGAGTGAGTGGCCCAGTATGGTGATTTCAGGAAGTTCAGGGACTGTTCACATCACACTTATTACCAGAGCCCAGTGAGGGGCACTATTCAGCTTTGAGGGCATCAGGGGATCACAGGAATGCCCTTAAACACAATAATGTCAGACAATAAAGTCCTGTCTTCATGAGTCACACATCTTCGTGCCTGTAACACTTAAGGAGGCTTTCAGTAAGTCAACCTGTCTCAGAGGTGAAGGAGGAAGCATGTAGGGACACTGGAGTACAGGTGCTTCTGGAAAATACTCTGTCCGTTTCCCCTGTTGCCTTGCAATGTCATGACATCCTTTCAAGTCTCCAGCATACTGAGGGGCCCCTAGATACATACCCTATACCGCCTTTTGGAAAGAGCTGTGCAAACTCTCCTGTAAACCCAGGCTGCCAGGTTTTTGCAGCAAAGGTGAGACCTCTCAGAGAGGATGAGAAGGAAGCAATCCTTCCTACCAAAGGAAGCACAGATGACTATGGCTCAGCCCTTGCCAGTTAGTATCTGTCCTGAACTCTTCAGTCAGCTTGCCTGACCTTGCCTTTGTTGCCTTTCATAACAGCTTTATAAGATGTGGCAGTGACAGCTAGCACAGTGATGGTTCCTCTGACAGCATGGACAGGACCTGTGCTAGTGTCTCCACTGAGGAACGCTTGGCCCTGCTTTATGGCAGATACATTTAACCTTGGTAACTTTTCAGGCAAGCCTTGCTCTTGAATCTAACAATAAGACCAATGACTTGATCCCAGGACTTAAAAATTTTGGGGTTAGAGGCAAAACAGCACTTTTCTCCCATATGATTGGAAAACTATTGCTCTCTTCTGTGCTAGAAACGGTGACCCCCCTCTTTACTTTCCTCTTCCTCACCTTGCTGTCTGTCCTTAAGGAGATCTCGCCTGGTAACCCAGGAAGATAGTCGGTAATACTCACAGGATTTCAGATGAGGGGCTTTCTATACCTTGGCCCGTGCTCCCTGCTTGTTGAGCATTGATAATGTCACTGTCTTTAGACTATTCTTCCAGAGCAGCTCTTGCGTTTTCCTACCTGATGCATGCCACCTGCAGAGGAAAGTCGTGGGCAGTTGCTGCATTAATCCTCTCCTTTCCTCCCTACATATAGGAGCATGCTTAGGGCGGGCCATGGATCAGGCTACACAAACACAGGTGTAGAGCAATCAGAGGAAGGAGCTGGTAAAGAAGAAACAAGAGCATGCCTGCCTTTGTGTGAATAACCCCTAGGCCCCCTGGTAGCTCGGTGTGACATTGGAGCCAGTGTTCTAATCCTTTGTTAGGCAGGCAGTCCAACACTGGCAGGCTTGGAATCCACTGAATATAGACTAGACCCCACTAATTAGCTTTGGGCAGCACCTCCTGTGTCCTGGTAACACACTAATCTTAAGGAGGGATATACCACAATTGTCCTCTTAGGATCTGAAATACTTCATGAAAGAAGCGGGGAAGCATCGTCTGAACAATTTAAGATCCTGGATGAGAGGAAAGCAGGTAGAGATTGCCAGGCTTTGCTGAGATCCATGGAAGCATGGCTCTTTTCATAGATTTACTTTTCTTTTTTAAGAGCGTTATCTCAACTGTTACATAATTTTTAAAATTAAAAAAAGGTACCTTAGTTATCTTGTGGCTCTGGAAGGAGACATGATATTTAGAAGCCATAACCTCTACTGAGTCTTCTCCATGGCTAATTAACTGCTTAGGATTTCAGTAATGGTGTTGTTGGAATATCGCAGGCCATGTGGCTAATTACAGTTTATCTCAGGCTATCATTAGACCCTAAAATAACCATTCCTTGCCCACATCTGTGAAAGACCTAACATACTGTGACTAACAGATAAAACCCTTGGGATGTATTAACACAACAAAGTACCCAGCATCCCCAACCATCAGACAGCATCTCAGGTCTACAAGAGAGATTTCCTCCTTTTATGTAGCTGTCTATCTAAAGTTTCTATCAACATTTTTTTAAATGCCTTGATTTATGACTTTGTTTATTCTGTTACATGAAGGTTTCATTAAACTGTTACTTCATTGGAACATGGAATTTGAAGTAACCAGGACCATGGCCACTCACATTTACTTATCTTTGAGATGAGAGTTGTGTTGGAAAGATTATAAAATTACAGACATACCACACTATCTGTTTAAGAGAGTTAACCCAAAGGAACTTGTCAATCACCTGATTAGGAAGGAACATTCCTTATAAATTTGTAACTTCCAGAAATATGATACACCTAAAGATGTGTCCCTAGGATGGAGGATGGGCTATCTTCTCAGTGGGATATGTGCATACACACCCTGGAAGCCCTTCCTCAGATGTAGTTGCTCACAGATCCTTGTAGGCAGTATCACTGGAGACCCTGTTTGGGCAATTTTCTAAGCCCTCTACTTTTATTTAGGTCATAGGCTACATGTACTTTTATCCTAATACTATGTTGATGTTCCATTTTCAATTTAAATAACATAAAATCTTTATAAAGTACATTCGTTGGATTTTCCCATGTTTGATCTGTTGATTTTTATAGTAATTATCATTCAAAGAACTTGTCAGCTTCTAGTAATATAATCCAAACAGTAACCCCTTAAAACTCACGGAAGAATGACCTCTACTGAGCCTGATTTATGAGTGCTTTATAATCTTAGTATAATTTAAAAGTTATAACCAAAGCCCAGTAAGCATCCTAAATTTTCAGGTAAGGAATCTAAGGTTATGAGAACTTCAAAACCCCACTTGGGTCAGAAACCAGACATGTGAGGCCCAAAGTCTCTTGAACACTATAGCTCTCTTTGTAACAATATTACAGATTTGAGCAGCTCTATGTTTTGTGCTGAAGAAACAAAATCTGATATCCTTGATCTACTGGGTAAAGCAAAATTAGATTAGTTAAAATAATTATCTAAATAGACAATACTTCAAAAATTTACATGTTAAACTAATAATCTTACTAACCTACCAAGTTATACTTCAATATTTTTGAAAGTCAAATATCTTCTAAAAGTATTTGTTTAAATCATCAAGGGAGAGTTAATGAGTGTTGGGAATGCTTGGTTTGATGGTAAAGAAGTGAGAGAAACACTCTGAGACTTGAGATGCCATGATGATGAAAGTTGTGGCAAAGGGTAAAAAGATAGAAGGAGCTATAGATTCTATAACTCAGGGCTTGACTTGATGCTAGATTGACAGGAAGCCTGAATCTGTGCATTCATAAGGGGCTGGTGACACAGGATGAGCTCAGAAAAGCAAGCCAGGGAAGCTTGAGATAATTTGAGTTTGTTCTAAATCAAAAAGCTTTCATTGAAGGGTTCAGATACTATGATTAAAAATCAGGGCTTTGCTTTCTACTGAAGAGAGAGCATAGTGACCACTGCTGAGGAATCATTTAAACGGAACAGACATGCGATGGTCAGATCAGCTCAGAATCTCTTTTGCAGTCAAATCATTGCTTCTCAGCACTTTCTCAACCTGTGAGCAATGGTCAGAAGACATTTGTCTTATATATATGCTCTGCATTTAAGTTTTGGCAAGGACTATGGGAACATGTACAGTGACTAACATTATTTAACATTATTACAGATTGCCATTGTTCATGAGCAAGAATAAATCTCAGATCACCTCTGCCTTGCCTATTGACTTCTTTTCAGAGCAAACACCTGTTGGGGTAGATTGATTTACTTCTTGGACACCTGCAGGGATTATTTGCCTCTCTCGCCTCTGGGAAAAGTTTACAAAGTAAGCCAAACTCCTTGGCTCAATTGTTTGGGGATTTCTTTGCCTATGGAGATAAGCTGTATCGTGTGCAGTCACAAGAGGACTAAGGAATTGTTTACCACCTCATAAAGAGATAGAATAAGATCAGAGCCTGTGATGAATGGGCCCAAGGAAGAAAGCTGGTTGTAACCTCCAGCTGATTTCCTCCTTTCCCAGAGTTGCATAAAATCAGTTTCTCAGAAAGAGGCATGACTGTAATTGTAGGGAAGTGTGTATAAGGAACCAAACAAACATCAAAACACAGTCTAGAGGCAATAGTAAACACTTTGAGGTAATAGCCCAACACCCAGAAGATTTAATGCCTTCTCTTGAATACCTTTATAGGCTGTTCTATGAAGACTGAAGGTCCTGACACAAAGAGGAGTCTTGCCTATGCATCCCTAGGGCCTATTATCTGTGCTAGTTTGGAATGAGCACAATAGAGCAGGTCTGAGAGAGAAGCACCAGGAGGTCTGGGGGGGGTGGGAAAGGGATCAGGTTACCTCAAGCTGGCTGGTTGGGCAAAAGTACTTTGAGAATTCAGAGCTGGATTGCAACATATTTGCTTTGGCCAGTTGGATACTGGTGTTGGAGACAGGCTTTTTGTGGTAGTTCTACAGGTTGGGTTCCAAGCCAAGCTGTAACATCTATAGGTCAGGCAGAAAAACAGATACTGACTGCTGTGTGGATTTGTCTTTTTAGGGTTGTGACCCATAGGTTAAGAACTGCTGCTTTGAAGTCCTTGTCCAACATAATAGGTAGACACTGCGAAGTCATCTACCAAGAAAATTGGAAAGAAAAATAGCTATGTGCACACCCTTGATATGAGACTTCTAGCTTTCAGAACTGTAAGACAAACAAGTAAATAAATAAAAAAATAAAACACTATTGTTAATGCTACACAATCTTAGTTTCTGTTCTAGCACTCCAAAGACACTGATACAGACCTGCTTATTCTGTAATGTGTAGCTAGCAGCCAGGGAGGAACAGCTGGCTCAGACGTACTATGGAGCGGGTACATGGCTAAGCACTGAGCTGAACTCAAGAAAGCCAGTAGAGAGGGAGGACTGATGACCAAAGGGATTAAGACTGGGCTGGCTTAACCCCCAGAAACAGCTGACCTGACAAGGGTTAACTCTTGAATCCCAGGCATCAGCCTGGGAATCCAGCATGGGACTGATCAAGACCCCCCTGACTGGAGGTGTCAGTGAGGAGGCCTAGGTAATCTATTGAGCCTTGGGCAGTAGATCAGTATTCATCCCGAGTATACACATGGACTTTGGACTCCTATTCAACAATGTGAGATGCACTCTTACCCTGAACTCTTGGGGGAGGGTCTGGGCTCTGCCCTGGGTGACAGACTGTGGACACCCCTATGGAGAGCCTCACCCTCCCTGGGGAAATGAGGGGACATTGGGGGTGGGCTGGGGGGGAGGGCACGGGAGGAGGGGAGGGAAATGGAGAGGGACCTGGAACTGACTTTTGAAGCAACCTTGTTTCTAATCTAAATTTAAACTTAAAAACAAATAATAAAAAATAAAAAAGAGGTACATTTTTTAGTGTCCTTCAGCATATTCATATATTTTGATACTGTTCTTTATAATAAAATTGATCATTGAAGGACAAAAAGGAAAAAAATAATGTAACTAGCACTTCCTTTCTTCCGTGCTGTTCTGGAACTTGTTCCCAATCCCAGATATTTCTCCTAAAGTGACTGTAATTTATCAACCGCTGGATTGAAGCTGCTATCTTTAACAAGACAGAACAGTATCTGTAAACATGTTCTTTCCCTAGCAGTCAGGGATGCAGAGTTACCCCTTCTGCAGTCATTCCTGTGATACCTTGCAATTCTATGTTCTGTCAGTGAGTCTTTTAACAGGCATCTATCCACCCACCACTGAAGACAAGAACTTTTCTAGAGATGGGTTTTGCCGTTTGCCTTGGTGTCCTAGACTCTGTAATGGTAGGTGGTGTGTTCTAGGGCACTGGATCCATGTGTGCTAAATGCATCAGCACATTCATGTACTTCATAGACTTAAGGCAGCATTGGCTTAAAAATCCCCCAAAGCAATGGTGAGAGGATAAAGATATGGCACTAGACATTAAATCTGACATGGTAGAAGGATAAAACTGATTCCTGCAAGTTGTCCTTTGACCTCCACATGTGTGCCTTAGCATTAGTGGACCCGTTTATACACACACACACACACACACACATACACACACACCAAAAACTTAAACATTGCTCAATACACAGAAAACTGAAACAAACAAAATTTCATAGTGTAATAAATTTGTTACTGCTAAATGAAAATGAAAAGAAAAAGATTTTTAAAAAGGCATGGAGAATAAAAGATTATTTCTTTGGAGTGTGTATTCTTAAAATGTATTTTGCCTGTGTGTATGTATTTATTGTTTATCCATTCCTTCACAATCTGTAATCTTGCTGTCTATAATTTGTCTGTTTGACGTTGATTCTTTAGGAGAGAATGTCTTTAATGCCTTGCTTTATAAATTTCCTGAATAAACAGCCATCTCATAGACCTTTCATTTTCTCTGTTTTTTCGATGATGACTATTCATTCTATCACTCAAACTCTGATTTTAGTGCTCTCCTTGCTGTAAGGGAAGTCGTGCACAAGTCTGAGAGAAGATCTGTGCTGTCAATGCCATGACATGGTGTACAGCGCAGAGGGTGTTGCCTGCTTCCCATGTGCTCCAGTCTTGGTGGTCTATAGATTAGAAATTGTTATCAGATTTGCAAAGAGCAATAAATATTCATTAAAAAAGAAGCCATTCATGTCTAGGAAAGAAATAATAATCTTTACATGTGAAAGACCCCAGGCGGGGGACTTTCACGGGAGGGAGACCCGAACCCAAGGAACACCGAGGCCACGAGCTTGGATGCAAACAGCAAGAGGCTTTATTGATAATACACGGGTACCCGGGCGTCTCAGTCTCGGGAACTGAGAGCCCGAGCTGGGGACTCAGGGGTTCTTTTATAGCAAAAAGCGCAGTACAGAAGCGAGAAGCCTAGTTACAGGACCCTGATTGGGTAATTTAAATGAGGCGGGGGCTCAGAACAAGGTTTCTCTCATCTGGACAGAGAGGCAATTAAGGTTTCTCTCATCTGGACAGAGAGGCAATTAAGGTTTCTCTCATCTGGACAGAGAGGCAATTAAGGTTTCTCTCATAACTCAATTCTCGGCCTTGGCCCTATCTGAAGAACAAAGGTTTCTGTGCCTGCCCAATCTTTCTGGGCTGGCTGTGCAGACCATAGACACCTGGGCCCCTATCTGGACAGAGATAGTAGTGACTATGCAGCTGTAAAGACCTTGAGCTGAGCTTCCTTCTGATCGAAAAAATGACTATTCGGCTGATCTGTGGGGGAAAGGAATTTTCCATAGGCCTCAGCCACCTGTGCTGGGCCGGGGTCTTTCACATGAATTTGTTTACTTTTATTTGCATTTCATTTTTCCTTTTATCTGCTTATTCATACGATTTTACTTTAAAATGACCAACTTCTCAGTTATTTTTATTCAACATAAAAGTATTTTAACATATAAGTAAGATATAAATATGCTTATAAAGTTCCCTGCCTTCGGTTGAGTTTCTCTTTAAGTGACAAATACATTGCACAGGCTTCCATGGAGCACAGAAGAAGTCAAAGGCCAAGGGACAGTCCCCTTGAATTCAAAGACAGGGCCACTTCTTTGTCCTCCAGCAGCTAGTAAGGAACACGGCTAGGAGAGTACTCAACCCTGAGGCCTATGTTATTTCCACCTTGCTCTTCTCACACTTGAAGTTGTGGTTCTCAACTTTCCTAATGCTGTGACTGTTTAATATAGTTCCTCATGTGGTGGTGATCCTTAACTGTAAAATTGTTTTTGTTGCTATTTCATAACTGAATCATAATGTAAGTATTTTTAGAGACAGGTATTTGCCACTGGGCTCACAACCCATAGGGCAAGAAGCTCTGCTTTAAGGACTAAATGTGAGAAATTAGGTGTGTGGGACCATGGCTTTTCCTGACCCTACACAGACTGTCAGTCACAGAAGCAAGACCTTCCAGGCAGCTTTCAGCTTCTTTGCCCTGCCCTTCCCTGCCTGATGCTCAGCAGCAGGCCCTCCCTCAAAGGTGACCAATAGATCCAAATGTCTGTAAACACCTTGACCACAAGGACTCATATTTTCCTGTGGGGCCATATATCTTTTTTCCTATTGCTGTATGTGAGGTCTTTGTAATTAACAAAGTCAGCCATTTATTATCACATCTAATATTGTTCTTATAGTTTGGCATAAATAATTTGCTTTAGAATTTCTCTCCTAAAATGAGAATTTTTAAATGTTTATATGGTTTGAGTTATATTTCCTTTGTAGTTTCTGAGACTTGTATCCCTCTTTGCAAGGGTTCTTAGAGAAATAAATTAATTCAGGAATTTTTCTTTAGCCTGTGGACTAACTTCATCAGGAATTTATCTTCAGGGACTGCTGAAAAGAAGACTGTCTCTGTACTGTGTTCAAATGTCACTGGTAAGGTACGCGAATTCAGTCTTGATGCTCACACTGATTTGAGATGCTATATTGTACACAACATCTGTGTGTTTCTGTGTGTTTGTATGCATATGTGTGTATGTTTGTGTGTGTGTATGTGTTTGTGTGCATGTGTATGTGTGTGTTTGTATGTGTGTTTGTGTGTGTGAGTTTGTGTGTGTATATATGTTTGTGTGTAGGGGACGTGCATGTCTATTTGTCTACATGTGTGCAAGTGTGGAGGTAAGAGGTCAACTTTGGGTGTCATTCTGAAGGTGCCAGCCTACTTGACAATTTTAGAATTAAATTATGCATGCACACGCCCATGTTTGGGATTGTGTGTGCTACTGTATGTCTGTGGAGGACAGAGGATTAATTCGAGGGAGTCAGGTCTCTCCTTCAATAGTGTGAATTCCTGGAGATTGAAATCAGACCATCAGGCTGGGTGGTAAGCACCTTCAGCTGCTTAACTAATCTACTAGCCCTGACTGGCCTGGGATTCTTTATATAAAACAGTTTGCTCCAACTCTCACAGAGTTCCAATGGCCTCTTCTACCTGACTGCTGAGATTACAGGTGTGAACTGGCTTGCCCAGCTTCAAGTTCTATGGAGCATTAATAGTAAATTCCTCCAAACGTTTAGGGAAGAAATTGGACATTTCCCTTTTCAATCCCTGCCTGGGATTGAACCTAGGACATGCTCCTGTGTGGAAGTCAAGAACTATGAGTTCCTGCCGTACAATTCCCTATAATCACGCTGGAGTACAAAAGCTGATGGAAAGATTTCTACCACAACCTCTGAAGCCAGCATTCCAAAAATACTCAAATAAGTAAACAACAGAAACAACAAGCCTGTATCTGTCATGAACACAAGTGCAAAGTACAACCACATATTGTCCAGGTGTGTCTGGGAAAGCTTGTCATGCCAAGACTTGGAAGACAGAGGAAAAGGATCAAGAGTTCAAGACTAGCCTGAGCTTAATAGTGAGCCTAGGTACAGCCTGGCCACAATATTAATAGATCTCTAAAACAAGCAAAACAACCACTAAATCACATAAACTCCAAAACTATAAAGGAATTACATCCCTGTAGTTCTGGGTTTGCACAAGTGGTACCAGGTATTCAGGTTTCTCTGTCCTTCTCCTGTCTTTGTGAAGACCTGCCAGGGGCTCCTGGTGCTTAGAAGAGCATGACCTCAGGGAATGGGTATGGGCACAGAAGGGAGAGAACAGTGTGGTGCTGGAGCCCCTGGCCATGAGGTGTGGCTTAAGGGACTGGAGCAGATGGACTTACCCATACACAAACCCCAAAACTGTGCCAACTCAGGTGAACAGACTATTCACAAAATTAGCAAGAAAGCTTAGACCACCTTGGGTGCATACCTCAATTCGTGGAAGGGGGTGGGACTTCACCCTCAACTAAAACCTCACACCTGATGGATCCTTTCTTCAGGTCCTAATATCTCAACTAACACCAGGTGTGTGGCACTGTTCCTTAGCACACAGGTCAGCAAGATCTAGAGTGCCTGTCTGAGCTTCCACTTCCTGAAGGACTGTAACCTGTAAACAAAATAAACTCCTTCCTCCCCTGCCTTGCTTTTGGTCAGTGTTTTCTCATAGCAACAGAGCAGAAAATTAATCTATGCGTCTGGACTTACATGTGTTCTTTTGTTGTTGTTTGAAGCAGGGACTGGATATGCACTCCTGCCTGGGTGGAAACTTACAATCCTATTGTCCAAGCCTCTCTAGTTCCAAGGTTCCAGGCATCTGGCACTGTAATGCACGTGTCTTTAAAAAATAAGTTTTTCATAATCCTAGAACTATGGAATGAATCATTACCCCCTATTTTGAGTTGTACTACAGAGCTATAGTAATAAAAACAACATGGTATTGGCAAAACAAAACAAAAAACCAAACACACCATGAAAACTCAGACATAAATCTGTATACCTATGAGTGTCTAAAAGAAGCCAAAAACACACACTGTAAAATGACAGTGTCTTCCCTGGGTGGTGATGCACACTTTTAATCGCAGCACTCAGGGAAGCAGAGGCAGGTGAATCTCTGTGAGTTCAAGGCCAGACTGTTCTACAAGTTGGCTTTCAGGACAGCCAAAGTTACACAGATAAACCCTATCTCAAAAACAAAACAAAACAAACAAGCAAAAAAGGACAGTATCTTCAGTAAACATTTCTGGTCAAACTTGTTGCCTGGTTGTAGAAGAATCCAAACTAATTGTTACTTACCACACTGCACAAAACTCAATTCCAAATTGATCAAAAAACACAACATAAAACCAGCTACACAGAACATGATAGAAGAGAAAATGGAGAATAGCCATGAAACCCATTGGCACGGGAAAACTTTCTGAACAGAATACAATTAGCACACATAATATTCAACAATAAATAAATTGGACCTTATGAAACTGCACAGCAAAGGACATCATCATCCAAAGTGGTGACCTACATTCAGAAGGGAAAAAGATGTTTTTACCAACTACACATCTTGTAGAGGATGATATCTAAAATGTATAACAAATACAAAAAAATAACAGAAAAACAAATAATCCAATTTAAAAATTGGTTGCAGGTCTAAATAGAAAAGTTTTAATAGAGAAACTCAAGTATCTGAGAAACACTTAAAAGAAATGTTCAACATCCTTAGCCATCAGGGACATGCCAAACAAAACAATTTAGAGATTTCATCTGATACTATCAGAATGGTTTAAATCCATAAAACAAGTGACAGCTCCTGCTAGTAAGGATGTGGAGTAAGGGTAACACTCTTCCATTGCTTGAAGGAGTGAAAATTTGTTCAGCCACTATAGAAACTCTTGTGGAAAGTCCTCAGGAAGATGGGAATCGAAATACCTCAAGATACAGCTGTACCTCCTTGGGAAAACACCTCCAAAATGCCTCATCCTACCAAAGAGACAGTTACTGAACCATGTTCAATCTGGTTAGCTATCTCTAGCTCATCCTCTGTGGAACTTTCTTCGCCCTGAAAGACTCCATTAGATTACAAACAGTCTAACAACACAGGTCCCTAGCAAACTAGGGAACAGAATTCCTAATGTCTGATGTATGGCTACACTGAGAAGTTAGAAAACATTATGTTGGAACATCAAGGGCTCTCATGATGGTGCTTACAGAGCCAAAGTAAGCAGAGATGAGACATAACTGAAGGAGAAGTTTTACTAACTGCAGCAGGTAAGGAGAACATGGACATTGTTTGCAAGACAGTGTCTTCCCGGAACATAGAAACTATAGGGAATTTATTCAGGAGGCATCTACATATTTTGAGGCACGTGCGTGTGTGTGTGTGTGTGTGTGTGTGTGTGTGTGTGTGTGTTTATCAATTCAGGAAGATGCTCATTAAAAGAGGATAAGACACTCTTAAACATGGTCAGTTTAAGATCATGAATCCTGTGTTTTTTAGAGTTAAATGAGGGAGGGCTGGTGGAGAGAAAGAACCACTGATTGACTGTCTGAATCATGACACCTAAAATGTAACTTGATACTGACTTACCAGAGAAATATGCTTAAAATTGCACTAAAGCTTCTTGGAGAGGACAGGGACATGTGAGGAGAATATTATGATTGCAAATGTCATATAACTAACTGTACAACTCTGCTGATGTTCTTGCCATTAGTGGCTACCACTATGTAGAATTATGTTTCTATAAAACTGAGGTTAAATAACTCTACCTCCTGTAAGTAGATGTTTGCCAACTATTAGATCACAGCCATGAAAAAAATTAGTAGTGTTAGCTGTAGACAAGAATGCGAGGGGAAAAATTAAAATTACTGCAGATTTTATCAGGCCTTGATTGTTCCATTACATGTGACAGCACAAAGATTCCATGATAAGAAAGTTAGGCATATTAGTCAATAAAAAGGCACTGCCTAGGGCTGGGTTTTGTCTTTGTAGTTTAGATAAGCAGTTGTGGGAGAGCAATTGGATTTAGTTGATTCTGCTAGATTTAGAGTTTTCCCAACCTGTTGGATCTCAACATAGTGAGTATATTTCCCAGGCTTTTAGTTTGGGCTTTTATCATTTGGTATCTATTTATTTCTTTATTCACATAATTGGTTTGGGTTTTGTTTCTTTTTTCCGTAAGTTCTTTTTCCTTCATTTCAACTTATTTTTCATTTATCAACTTCTTTTCTTTGTTATTTTTGCCTTTGTTCTTGTTTAATTTACATATTTAGTGGAATATATTAACTGTATAGGATGAGGAATTTGATCACGACTTCCCATATCTGCCCATACTTCAATTTGTTCATATTTACCTCCTCTATTTCACTTGTCCATACATTGAATGTGACAAGTACTTCCAAATGAACAAAGGTTCTTCCCCTTGCTTTACCATGACCTATAGGAAACAAAACATGACACTAGTGTTTGTAGAACTGGAATATTTGAAGTAACACTTTCTCTAGTTCCAAGTTTTTCCTTAAAAAGGCATTTAATTCCTTTGATGTCTGATTATAGGACTTACCACAACACTGTATTATGTTATGCCGTGTGTCAATTTGTGAATGTGGACAAACCCTAGTGTTCCTGGGTGAAGGCATTTCAATCATGAAGTATTATCTTTTTAATGTGGTGTTGAATTTTGTCTGAGCTATCTCTTATTAAGTATTATTTCTCATTAAAGATTTTCTAATCTATGTTAGTCAAGGACATTACCTGCTATTGGGCTTTTTTAAGTTTTATGTACTTGGTTTGAGAAGAAGGGCAATGAGTCTTTTATGAAAAAAATTAAAAATGTTCCTTCCCTCAGGTTTATAGCTACTAAAATATTTGGAGAACTTTTCTGTTAGATGTTGAGATCATAGAATTTATCAGTGAATTGTGCTAGTCACTGTAAAAGTCTTTCTTGATACTCAATATTTTCAGAGTATTTTGTCTAGTTGTATTTCCTAGACTTTAATTTTTCCTTTGATTTATTATTTCCCTCCTTCTTGGGTATATTTTTTAGCAGGGGAGGGAGGGAATATCCAGAGGTTACCGAAAGACATTGATGCTAGGACAGATCTTCCTTTCAGACTGAGAGTCGTTAGTAATGATGGACACACTCAGTGGGTGTCTGGAAGAGTTTTATTCCCATTGCACAAAGTTATGTCTCCAGGAACTTCAAGGTTTCTGAGGGAAAACGAATTGCAGGTTTGGTTAATATGAGACCTATGCTACATGACAGAGGATGAAATCTGGAATTTAGGCTACTTGAAGAGCTCACTGATTATATTCAAGGGGAGGGTGGGAGAGATATGGTCAATGTGTAACTGTTCGACAGAAATTACTCTAACTTGACTTCTGGGAAAGTAACAGGGGTGGGGTGGGGATGGATAGCAGTCTTCTCTGTTAAGGGCATTGTGAAAGGAAAAAAATTAAAAAATAACTGTTTTTTTCTTTGCTGAGTCTTGATTGGTCTTTTGCATGTGACATCACATGAAGTTCTTTTGAGGTAATCTAGATACTAGCCAATAAAAAGGCACTGTCTGGGGCTGGGTTTTGTCTGTTCTTCAAAGAAGCAGTTGGTTGGTGGGGGAGCAGTTGGATTCAGTTGTTTCAGTTATGCTTGGCCTTTTCCCCAGTGTGTGGGACCTGGACATAGTGAGTTTGTTTTCCAGCTTTTCAGTTTGGGCTTTTGACATTTGGCATTTCTTCAGTTCTTTGTTTACATTATTGGTTCGGGTTTTTATTTTTTTCATGTAGGTTCTTTCTCTTCATTTCAACTTATTTTCCTTTTACCTATTTTTCTTTGTCATTTTTGGCTTGTATGTTTTACAAATTTAGCAGTATATATTAACTGTATAGGATGAAGAATTTGATCATGACTTTGATATCTGGCTTTCCTCTACTTTGATCATAATTATCTTCTCTATCTCTCTTCCCCACCCACTGAATTTGACAGGTACTTCCCATTTTACAAAGGCTATCCCCTGCTCATGACCTTCAGGAAACAAAATGTGGCACTTGGGCTTGTGGAACTGGCATGTTTGTAGTAACACTTTCTTTAGTTCCAAGCTTTTTCCTGAAAAAGGCATTTAATTCCACTGATGTCTGATTATAGTGCTCACCTCAGTGTTGTGTGTATGCTATGCTCTTTGACAATTTATGTACATGGATGAATCTTTAGTGTTCCTGGCTAAAGACATCTTGATCATGAAGTATGGTTTTATTTATGTAGTGTTGAATTTGATGGGTACTATCTATTACTCTCATTCAGGACTTTCCAATCTGTCAGTCAAGGATATTGCCTGGTACTAGGATCTTTTAAAAATGTCTTATGTGGTTTGAAAATTTGGGTAATACTTGTTTTATGAAAAGAGTTTGAAAGTGTCCCTTCCCTGGATTTTATGAACTACTGAAATATTTGCAGGTCATTGCTGCTAGTTGTTGAGATTTATGTCTTTGTCCTCATAGCCTCCTTCATCCTGGCTTCCCATGTTGCCTCCCATCTCTTGATCTAAGAAGCTGGCATCATTTTCCCACCTCATGGAGGGATTTATAATTACATTTGACCTTACATTAACATTATTCTGCTCCATTGTGGAAAGGTAAGTAGGCCTTGCTCAATCCCAAGAATAAATTGGGCTTGTGCTACAGAGTATGAGAGAGAGGGAGAGAGGGAGGGAGGGAGAGACAGACAGAGAGAGAGAGAGGAGATGAGTGGGGTGGGCAGAGGGGGTAAACGGGATAGAAGGGGAAGAAGGGGGGGGGAGAGGAGAGAGAGCATCAGCTGAGGCATGGCTTAAGGGATGTTGATATACCATGGTGTAGGTGGCACATCTCTCCCCTCTGATCCTAACACCATTGAGGAGCAACAGTTTGAGTCAAAGAGGGTGATCATCTCACACCTGTATGTTGTGACATTGATTCTGTCACTGGCCAGTGACTTAGTTTGTGTTGGGTTCCAGAGACAGAAATATGACGGTTCACAAAACCTAACAAGGGAAACTAGCCAAGAGACAATGAACTGTTTTCTCCTTCGCCCATGGCTGGTCTGTCTGTCCACTGAGGCAGGCTTCAGTCCTGATGCACTTAACTGAAACCAGGGCCTGGGCAAGGGAGACTAGGGTACTGTGGCCAGATCATGGAATCTCACAGGAGATTCCTTGCACAAACCAAGGATCCAAGCCCATGTGATGGTCTCTAAGAATGTGATTCTCAGAATGCAAAGTTGATGTCCAAGGGGCCAGGTGAGTATAATGTGAACCCTTTATATCGCTGACCACTGGAGGGAGCATGTTGTGGCCTTTTTACTGTTACTTGAGAGAAGTCAGCGTATGATCAGGCTAACACCCTCCTTCCCCACTGCCTGCCTGATGGAGGCACCAGGAACAGATGCAATCAATACCAGCTATTTGTACCTAAATCTTTGCACACACTTCTCTAAAGGTTTTCAGTACTATTCTCCTCCCAGTGGAGAAAAGTGAGTTTAAGAGATGCTCACTTGCTCTTTTGGATAGAGCATGACTAGTTTGAACTGTTTAAATTTCTAGCCAGGCCTTTGACTCAGACATGATGACTAATGTGGTAACATCCTGGGTTTCTTGTAGACTCGGAGGTCAACTCCAGAACTCTCATTTACCATCCTTTCTCTCCTCAGGTTTCCAGGTTCTGTTGAATATGTTCCGTGACAAAGTTCATTTTCACCATATGTGTATCCTGGTCATCTATGGGTACAGGAAGCATAATGCCCAGAAATAAGCAGGTTCGTGAAAACTGCTTTTCCTTCTTGATCTTAGAGCCTGTTATATCTGACAGTAGCAGAGTAGCTAGGACAAACCAACCCCTGTAATCAGAATTTCCCAATGAAACCCCACTAAGTCACAGCCCCCCCCCAGAAGGTCACATAGGAATAAAATTGACATTATCCCTGCCTTGTTAGGTTCTGAATTCCACCAAAAATAAACCTATTATGAGAAAGGCTACAGGGTTAGGGCAGTGAAAGAACCTTTCTGTCAGCCTCACCACTGTTCTAAAATAAATCTTCTCTTGTTGGTACCTGGACACATCCTGAATCATGGATCTGAGAATTCCTGACCTGAGGATGTGCACACCAAGCATTAGTGACATAGAGGAGAAAAAGCACCTCTCAATCCCTCTTCCTAGAAGACAAGCATGCCATTGTCTGAGCTCTAGAGGAATTCAGGGACTCCCCACAGCATCAGGAGGGCACACTGTGGAGGACAATGAAATGATTTCTCTTCTACCATCCAACTACAGACAACCACTCCAAATTACCAAAAAGTTCTGGGAAGTCTACACTGCCGTGCCCCATGAAAACCTTCCAAGTGGCTACTTACTGTAGAACCCCTGCCCACCTTAGACCCTTTTGCATTTTGACAGTTCAGAAAGTCACCCATGCCTTTCTGTCCTCACAGATAACCCAGAAAACCTGCATGAGCAGGTAAAGAAAGTATCTCAGAAGACAGTTTGGAAATAAATGTGCTTGGTTCTCCTTACAAAGACACTGTCCATGGATCCCTGTCCCAGGCCACCACTAATGTGGAAAGCCATGGTCATTGACCATCCTCCACACCTACCTTCCGGCATACTGTGTAAACATTCTATGCCACAGGTTAGTGAAAATAACACCCAAATGATGTTGACCCTCCATGGATTATAAAAATTAAGCTAAAGGTAAGACCGAGGGCAAAGGACAAGTGTCCTGGTACAAATGACTACGGGATCCCCCTGATCCCTGATTCACTGCCCAGCAGAGAGAAGCAGATGTAATCCATACCGTCAGGATTTCATGAGAGCAAAAGCTCAGCAGAGTGGGGAGACTGGATGAAGGTGAAAGGTTTCCACAGCAGCCCATGCCAAGAACAGCTGAGTACTTAAGGGGCTACGTGACTTCATTTCCTGAACTATCACACCTCTGTGCATAGTTCAAAGAGGGAATACCTAGGAGCCCCACAGGATGCCTGTGAATATTACTCAAGGTCATGGATCTAAAGGGCTTTGCCTCCTCCATCTTGCTCCATTATTCCTGAGAGAATACTAAATGATGCTGTGATGCTGTGGGACTGTGGGGTTTGGGTCTCAATTTCTAAAAGAACATGAGGTATGGCAGCAAAGACATTGTGTTTTTCAGTCATCTGGCTAGGAATCCATCAGCTCATGCCTAGGGAGTTTGTGCTTTATACCAGGCAAGTGTTCCCCAACCACAAAGGACGGACTGTGGCCTTTCTGTTCACCCTTAGCTATCCTGTGCTTCCTGCAGCCATCACAGAATCAGCCTTGGACATCTTTCTAGTACCCTTACTACCCAGCAAAAGTGGGCCCTGATTCCTGCCGTGCCAGCTCTCTATCCACCCTTTTCACAAGTAACCAGTGCTGAGTGCGTGCACCCCAAACTGCACTGAAAAACTCTTGCAATCAATGAGCACAATGAGAAGCTGTCTAAACACAGACATCCCTGAACATGATCAGGGGCAGTCATGAATCCCATGCTTTCAGAGTTAAATGATGGGAGTAGGAGACAGAAAATTAGAACGAGACTGTGAAAGGGGCATGGCCTTCAGAAGACGTAAGCACATGGGCTGGCTACAGAAACATGCTAAAAGTTTTCGGTGATGCTACTTAAAGAAAACAGGAACATCTCAGAGACTCAGAAACTGACAAACTCCCCGTGATGACAAGTCTCATGACCACCAGAGACGGGGTGGTAGGAGGGTGGTGGTGGTGGTGGTGAGGTGGGGGGGATAGAGGGGGAGGGAGGAGTATAGGGGTAGGGGGTTGGGATGCAGATATGATGTGAGATGTAGAACATCATGATGTCAGTGACTCAGCTTTCCTGTAAAGTTACCACTCTAAATGTCAGCATAAAAGCCTTGACTTGTATGTAGTTATGGTGATCTGAGTCAGGAAAAGGCAAAACTACTATAGAAATTGAAGGCTGAAATGAAATTCCATGGAAAAACCCACATACATTCAGCTGGAAGCAATTCATATAATGCCCACTACCCTGGGAAGCTCATAGTTTCTCCAGTCTATCTTTGTAAGTTTTTCTGTTACATTTATTAATATTACTAAAGGGGCAAAGGTCCATGAAAGGGATTTGATGTGGAATGTCACCACTGACACATAGGTTTGTATACTTTGTCCCCATCAGGCTGTACTGTTGGGGACACTGTGTAATCCTTGAATAAAGGAATTACCAGAAAACCTTAGATAATTGGAAGAACATGAAGTGAAAATATCATGTAACCAACTGCATCACACTCCTGATGTCCATCCCACAAATTTCCCCATTATATTGCCTTAGGCTCCTGTCCATGAGGTTAAAGAAACTATTGATCACAGCCATTGGATGAATTAGCACAGTTGTTCAAAACTGAAAGTGAGAGGGTGTAGCAATAACAAAAACCTAGTGGGTTTTGCTAATCTGTAATTGGCTCATTGCATGTGACATCACAAGGAGCCACTGTGAGGTAAGCTAGGTATCAGTCCATGTAAGGCACTGCCCAGGGCTGAGTTTTGTCCTTGTACTACAAAGAAGTTGTTTGGTGATGAGCAGTTGGACTCAGTCATTTCTCATTGACTTGGAGTTTCACAGACTTTTGGATCTTGGAAAAAGTTTCCCTGGTTTTGGTTTTTGTCATTGATTCATTTTTGACAATGTTTGTTTGTTTTAAAATTTGGTTGTATTAGTATTTCTTCTTTGGCTGAGATTTTTCCAGTTTTTTAAAACCTCATTTCTTTGTCACTATTAGCTATGATCTAGCTTATTTTTTACTTTTGTTACATGTGTGTACACAATTAGGAATTCGATCAGTTTTATATAGTCCTCCTGTAGCAAGCTGTGGTAATATTCCCCAGGTCTGTGTCACTTCCCTGCCCACATCCTGTGACCAATATGCAAAAATTCATTCCCTTGTTTGAATACATCCAGAGATAGACAAAAGCTAATATTTCTGTTTGTAGAATTTGATTGCTTATAATGAAACTTTCTGTAGTTCCAGGCTTGTCCCTGGCGGTGGTGTTTCATCCCTTTTTCTGGATGGCTGTGTTCACTTGATGATGTGACTATGTTGTGCTGCTCTTTGTTAATTTTCATATGCACATTTATTTTTGTGCTCCTAGGCAGGGCATCTTGTTTATGAAGAACGATCCTTTTAATGTGCCATTGACTATGAAGTAAAGGATTTAGCTCTATCATTATGGATATTTTCATATCATAGTCAAGGATACTGCCAGAAACTTGTCTACTGCAGCTGGGAAGAACCAGTTTCCAGGCTGCAGGCAGAACTCAAAAGGGAAAGACCCACAGCATAGTTTAAACTGAGACTTTTATCTGAGGGTTTTGGGAAAACAGTTTAAAGACCCAACAAATTCTTTCAGGCATCACTGGAGCCACACAAAAGGTCACACTCTGTTGAAGTAAATGATTAAAATTAGAGTCACTCTGTTTAAGAAACCTGGATTCATCGGTGAATTTTTCTGGTAACAATACAAGACATTGTTGACCCATTGGTTCTTTCAGATTGTGTTGCCTAGTGTCATTATTTGGGCTTTTAAGTTTCCAACTGATTCTTGTATCTTTCCTTATTGTATGAGTTTGAGTTTGTTTCTTTAGTGGGGAGTGAGGTAAAGAGGGGATATTATAGAAGGGCTGGGATGCTAGGAGAGATCCTCCTTCCAATCAAAAGGACTCTAGTAATGATGGCAATGCAGTAAAGCATGTCTCTATGGACTTGCAGGTTTCTCTGGGAACAGTCAGTCAATCACCACAAAAAAGTAGTCTTCTTTAATAGGAGGCCTGTGCTGCATGGCAGAGTAAGGAACCTACAAATGAGGTTACTTGCAGAGGTCATTTTTTTATCTGGTTGATGTGTGACTGTGATAAATCTGCCTTGACTTCTGGGCAACATGAGTGAGGTAGGGGATAGGGAGAAACCAGCTTTGCTATGCCCATGTTTATTGGTTACTATTCTATTGTGATAAAAGTTTATAAATATGGAAATTTAAGAAAGAAAGAGCATATCTGGCTTATTTTTTAGAGGAATAAGAGTCCACCTTGGTTTGACAGAGGCATGGCAACTAGCTGAAAACTTGAAGGCAAAAGCAGTTGATTGAATGTCACATCCCCAAATTTAAGCAGGAATCAGAGGGAGCAAGTGAAGAATAGGCTTATTCATTTCAATGACAGGCCCAATGATGGACTTCTGCTACTAAGGCTCCAACATATGAAGTTCCCCAAACTGTACCATCAACTGTCCTGTGTGTCCGTGTGTTCAAATGACCAATTCGTATGCGACATTTCTAATTCAAAGTACCACAGGAGTTGTGTTAAATGTATGTCAGATGTAGTGAGCCCTGGGTTTCTAGTTTGGGAACTTGTGGAACCCATGGATGTGGAACTAGCTCGAAGAACTGTGTCATCAGAGGCAGAGAACTTTAATGCCCTGTCACTCACCACCTAAATATCAGCCCTATGGGGAACAAGATGCTCCCACCACCATGGCTTCTCTTGAAATCCTGTGCACAAATAAACCCTTCCTCCCTAGAGTTGATTCTGGTCTGGGATTTGGTCTTGACAATGAGAAAAGTACTCAGGGCACTGGTTGTGGTACAGTACTTGATCAAAACCATTGTCATTACTGACAAGCCATGATTGGTTAGTTGCTTGTGATGACATCTCAAGGAGGCATTATGAAGAATGTTAGCAACTAGGATATGTTAGGTACTGCCTGTATTATGCTTCTGTCTTTGTATCTTGGAGTAGCTGGTGGTTGCCTACAAAGGTGTTGAACTTAAACTTGGCTCTGATAGACTAGGAATTTTCAATCTACAGGATCTTGCTAGAATGTTTCTTTCCTGTTCGTTGGTTGCTTTCAGGGATTAGGGTCTGTTGTTTCATGTTTACATATAAATTATATTATTGGTTTATATTCTAGGTTTGATTTATGAATATCTTTATTCATTATTACCCAGTTTCCTATTTGAAAACTCTTGTAATTTTTTTTAATTTGGTTTCCATTTTCTTGTATTAGAACATGTGTTCTTATATACTATCTGTAAGCATTGCAGCTTGGACAGAAAAGCAACCTGGGTGTCAGAAGCCAAAAAATACCACAGTCACTGTTAAGCAAGGCATTTTACAGTTAGGCTCCAGGGAAAGGCTTCCCCAATGTAACAGTTCTGTCCCTGCAAGGGAGGGTTTCCCCAGTGAAGTTGTTACAGCTTTGCTCAAATCCGTTAAAGTATAACAACTCTGGTTTCCCCAGTGAAAGCATTAAAATTCAGCTCTGTTCTGCACTGGTGAAAGCTGTTACTTCTCTGCTCCACTCCATTAAGGGAGTTTCCCTGCAGAGATGCCAGTTGCTTCTCTGGTTTACTCTTCCTGAAAGAAGGTCTTCAACTCAAATTCATTCAAGATTTACAGGGAGGAATCCAGAGAAGAGAAGTGACTGCCTCTGCCAAGGTAGAAAAGGCAGCTGCTAACTGAATGGACACAGGGCTTATATAAAGTACTTAGTGGTGGAGTTTTTCCAGGTTATAGATTTTCTGGGTTTTTTTTTTTTGGTTTTTCGAGACAGGGTTTCTCTGTATTGTTTTGGAGGTTGTTCTGGAACTCGCTATGTAGACCAAGCTGGCCTCGAACTCACAGAGATCCACCTGCCTCTGCCTCCCGAGTGCTAGGATTAAAGGCGTGCGCCACTAACGCCTGGCCCAGGGTATAGATTTTCATAGTGGGAATTGGTCAGATTTCAATCCCTGAATTGGACACACTGAGAGATAGCCTGATTTCATGCTCAGAAATTGCTTGGTTTTCCTGTCCAGGGATTGGTTGGTTTTTGTGCTGAGTTGGCCAGGGGGAAGAGTGTGTTTCTTTCACCGACTCTTTCTTTTTATTAATTTATTTTTTACATTCCAAACCCAGTTTCTCCTCCCTCTTTTCTTCCTACTCCCTCCACTCTTCCCTCCTCCCATCTGCTCCACAGAGAGGGCAAGGCCTCATATAGGAAGTCTACTAAGTCTGTCCCATTATCTAGTTGAGGCAGGACAAAGACACCTCTCCATCCCGACACTCTTGGGTCTAGGCTGGGTGTGGTATCTCTCCATATAGAATGGGCTCCACTAAGTCAGTTTGCAGATTAGTGTTAGGTCTTAGACCCACTGTCACTGGCTCTTTTTAACTTTGGAGCTCTGAGCTCAGGGCCAGAGTGTGTTTCTTTCACTGGCCCCCTTTAACCTATTGGCTCTGGTTTCAGGGTCAGTAAATTTGTTCTAATCTCAGGATCAGGGTGTGTTTCTTTTGCTATACCTGTGGAGAGATTTTGTCATTTCCTAACATACAGGGGACCAAATAAGAACATAAGAGGAACAACCAATATTCTGAAATATTAATTGAGTCGAAGGGATAGCTATCAGAAAGACAAGTCCTGGTTAATTATGATCCATGCAGGTCCTCTTGGCTTCCCTCTGTCCTTGAAGAGGAGAGCTAGTGAAGCAGATCTTCCAATCAGAGCCACACCATGAACCACAGATACTCCATTGTAGAGGTGACGCCCAGCTCAACATGCAGGCAATCAATTAAAAAGTAACAGAAACAATCCATATTCTGAATACCAGTTGAGCTGAAGAGACAACCATCAGCACGATGAGAATCCCTGATTAAATATGACTCAATCACGTTCTCTTAGTGTCTATCTACCCTTGAAGAAGAGAGCTAGTGAACCAGATATTCCAATCTATATAGAAGCTGGAAAGAGCCACTTTCAGAAATAGGTTGTGGAAAAAAAGAGTCAAGGGATATAGAAGCTACTCCATGCTCCACTGATACTCCTGCTTGGAGGTGAAGCCCTGTTCAGCATCCAGGTGACCAAATTATCAAAAACAACAATCAATATCCTGAAATATTACTGAGCATTGGGGACAACCTTTGGCATGATAAGACACCCTTTCTAAGTAAGATACACACAGGTCCTTTTATCCTCCCTCTCCCCTTTAAGAGGGGAGATAGTGAACCAGCTTTTCGCACTGGGAAGAGTCACTTTCAGGAAGAAGGTGTGGAAGAAAAATACATGGGATGCAGATGCTATACCATGCTCCACATATACTCCTGCCTGGAGGTGATGCCCTGTTCAACACACAGGAAAAAAAAAAATAAACTAACAGCAACAGTCAATATTCTGAAATCCCAATTGAGCATTGGGGCAGCCATCAGCAAGATGAGAGACCCTGGTTAAATGTGACCCCTACATGTTCTATTAGCCTGAATGTACCCTTGAAGAGGAGTGCTAGTGAACCAGCTGTTCCTGCGAGTCTTGTTCAGGAAGAAGGTGTGGGAGAAAGAGGCAAGAGATTTATAGAAGCTGCAACATGCTCCGCATGCCTGGAGATGATTCCTTTTCATTTCAGGTCACCATAATAAACAACCACCAATATGCTGAAACACCAAATATACGCTGGGAACAATTGCAATATGAGACACCCTGCTTAAATACAATCACTGCCAGACCCATTAGCTTCATTCTCCTCTTGCAGAAGAAGAGACCCAGGGCACCAGATTTTCCAGTCAGCATAGAATCTGGGAAGAGTCACTTTCAGGAAGAAGTTGTAGAAGAAAGAGGCTAGGGATGCAGATGCTGCACCATGCCCCTCAGATGCTCCAGCCTGGGGGTGATGCCCTGTTCAACACGCAGGCATCAAATAATAAACTAGCAGGCACACTCAATATTCTGAAATACCAACTGAGAATGATGAGCTGTCCTGGATATATAGATGGGGTCCTGGCAGTTCCTCATAGCTTCTGTCTCCCCTTGAAGAAGAGAGTTAGTGGAGAAAATATTCATTCCAATCCATAGAAAAGATGCAAAGAGTCACTTTCAGGAAGAGGTTATGGAAGATCCATGCAGTAAGTCCTACCTATTCCTATCGTCACCCCTCCTTCTTCTACTGGGATGAGGTATTTGGGAGTCAAGAGCAAAGCTGACAGAGCTAGAAGCGACCCCTAGTGTAGGTAGTGGTCATTCTTCTTCTGTCTCACATCCGTATGCAGTAATCATGGGGGCTGCTTGGGTGTATGAGAGTGGTGATCAGAACACATCAGCCTGTTACCTGGACTTTCACTGATACTGCTAAGCAGTGAAACAACGTCTTGATTGGAACTGGGATTTGTTCTCTCCCAGGGTGTGCCAGAAGCCAGGCTCTTTAGATGTCCTAAGGAGTGGTCTCAAACCATTTCCAGTTTCTCTATTTCTTGGATGGTGGCTTCAGAGCTCACACGTGAACAGTTCATTTTCAGTGTGTTGTTTCTGATCTTCATTGTGAGGCAGAGACTTATGTAGGAACCTTTTGTAGCTGTTACACGAGCATTGCCAATTTGAATCTGGGGTCAGGTGTAACAGGTTGAGAGGTTATATTCCTTTGGATTACTCTTAGAAATCCTAAAATTTTCTGAAGCCAATTAGAGTAAATACTGTTGGAATTCTATAACAGTACTACGGTATTTGTTTTTTTTTGTAAATTGTCTCTATCCAATACCAGTGAGATACAAGTGAATTTCATGGGTGATAGTGGTGATCACACGCGGAGGTACCTCCCTGCCCTTCCTGGCAGACTTTGTACTGTCAGTGTATGAGCTATTCTTGAAAGTGTTCACTTCCTGGGGTGTCTTGACTAGACAAACCTGTGCAGAAGAAATGCCCTTAGAGAAATGATATCTTGAGGACAATCCCTTGCCATTCATGCTATCTACTGCCAAACTTGTTCATGAGATGAGTGACATAAGCAGCACACTTGGGGACTGGGTGGGGAGGTTGTCCCCCTTCTCCTGGCAGCACAGGGTGGTAGGCACGCTCTGCCATCAGCTCCCCTTCTTCCTTGACCCCCCTCTCATCATGTACATGATGTTCAGCCAGCAAGGCGAATGTGGCAAGGGCGGGCTCACTCAGTTTCCTTTGAGCCTAAAGGGAAGTGAGAACATCTGCTGTGGACTCAGAAACACAGGCATGCCTGGACTTACCTGGATATTTAGTGTGGGCCTGGTTTTAAAATTAGGTCTGTGGTCGTGATGTTGATTTTTTTCTCATGTATACAATCACTAACATCTTTGGGATGGTATCCCATGCCGCCACCACAGCGCTGGGATTTGGGCTGTTACAGTGTGTCTCTGAGGATGATGGTAGTTTCCAAAATTCTTTCCTCTCCTTGGGCCACTGGTGCTGCATAATTTCAGGTATCTTGTACAACTGTCCACTGTAAAGTAGAAGAGATGCACAATGAGGTTTACTGTGTTTTGTCAAAGAGTGGAAGGAATAGGGTGTTTGGGATTCAACATCTCCTCCTTCATGTCTGAATAGGTCTATGCTTTGAATGGAAAGCACGCTGTCACCACTCCCATGCTCCAGATGTCAACTGCCTTTGCGTCATATCCTGTGTCAGTGAATAGCTTTGAAGCACAAATTCAAGGATGCCACAGGATCCCTTGGACCTCTGCCCAGAGGAGACTCTGATGGACAGGCCATAGTCACATGGTTTGATGCTTCCTTTGCCATCCAGCGGGATGTTATCTAGTTTGATGTCCTTGTATGCAATGCTATGCTTACGGTGGTAGGGAACTGCACACACTATTTGAATAAAGATGTGCTGGGCGTGATCATCCTGCAGATGGCGCACTTTCTCAGTATGACTCAGCAGATCTCCACAAGCAGCAATGTTCCATCACCATATAGGTGTGTGCTGTGGTACTGATGATGATTGGCTGGTCGAACACCTTAAAGATGACCATTTTAGTTTTATTGCTGCGGTCATTCTTGTTACCATTTCCCAGGATCCTGATAGCAGCTTTCATCTCTGTGTGGAAGTGGCAGGCCTGCTTTCCCTCAGCAAATGCCTCTTTGCCAAGGGTCCTGAGTATGATGTAAGGAGCTATAAGGGACTCCTCTTCTGAGGTGCTGTTTTCAGGTCCATCTGCATTGTCACATCCTCTCTTGTCTTGCTAGTAAGTTTCTTGGTAATTTCCATACCAACACCAAGTGGACAAAACCAGATTAAAACAATGAGAAATAGGTCTAGGGGAAACATTTGTGGCTTTCAAATTCTACGTGGAGAAGTGACAGATTTGTGAAGCAACCTTACAATTAACTTCTGGGTCACAAAATAAGAATAAACTAAGTGTCCCCAAAGTACCTGGGAAACATTCTGAAGATGAGAACAGAGCCTAAGGAAATGGGCAATAATGGACATTACAAAGGCACAAAAATCAAGTCATGGAAAAGGAAGACTAAAGCAGATACTTTACCAAAAGTTATCAAATAGGAGAAGACACAATGTAAACTATAGCCAAACTATGGTGTTGTTATGGCAAAAATGCCTAGAATCACAACAATCATTTGGAAGTATTTTTTGGCAATTAACAAGGGAGTGTATTTTGATATGAAAATACTATATTCACTCTGTAAACATTTTGAAGGTAAACTGTGTTAATCTATGCAAACCAAAGCATTGCATAACCAGTTTTGGCAATAATTTTTGCTTCCTTGTCCAATGTTGAGTTCTCAATAATTGATACAATGGGAATCATATAACCATGAAGACTTGGGATACTTTCTTGCTGAAACTATGGACTACAAATAGTAATAGAGAATCAACATTCTTGAAGAAATAAGTAAATCAGAGGGATAAGAAAGATTCACAATACACAGTTTTGCAGATGCTGTCAGGTGATGGAGAGGAATGAATTTTGCAGAAAAAATTTTTCATTACCAGATCTGTAGCAATCCTCAGTGTATGCCATCAACATACCCATTTTTCTTGTTCCCAAACTGTACGTTCTACTCCAAGATAATTTGGTGAGTATGATGACGTCAACACCACACTGAGAATTATTCTTCAAATAATGTGATCTGGGCAGGGGTGGCACGTGCTTTTAATCCCAGCACTTGGGAGACAGATGCAGGTGGAACTCTGAGTGTTTGAGCGTAGCCTGGTCCACAAGAGCTAGTTCCAGGACAGCCTGTGCTACTACACACAGGAACCCTGTCTTGCAAAATCCAAAAAAAAAAAAAAAAAAAGAAAGAAAGAAAGAAAGAAAAAGGAGAAAAAAACAGAAAAAAAGTGGAATGCCTTTCTGTATTAGTTAAAAGTCATTTGCTTTCATGCAAACTTAGTCATGAAATATGTGTCAGAAATTCATATTAATCATCTATTCTAAACCATGTGTATATTTACAACTTATTTTGAGTTTTTACATTTTTTAATTTAATTTTAATAATTGTTTTCATGTCAAGCATGATTATTCAATTTACAATATTTTCTTCTACTTCTCTTTATTCAGGGGTCCTTTGCACCTGGACTGACCAGGGTACTTCCTGAGTACATTCTGCCAGGTGATCGTGGCAGGCCAGCATAATGCCTGAATCCTTACACAGTGTTCTCCCTTGGATGGTTCACAGTGTTGGAAGGTGTCTGGGTGTCTCAGCCACCACGGACTCTTTAGACAAAAGAGCCCTGGGTCGTTTAGAATCCAAGCCTGGGCTCAAGGACCAATGGCCTAATCCACACTCCAAAGTGGTTTTGACAGATAAAGAGAACAGTGTGGGTCCCATGAAAGCAAAGCAGTCTCGGTAGACAGTGTCAGTCAGACTGTGCCTGGTGTTTCTTGAGTTGATCAGAAAATCCTCTTCTGAATTCATGCCTCATTGCACTGTCTGTGTACACTACTACCTCTGTCAGTGGTGCTCCTGGAGTGAAAGTTCTGCTTTCAGCATCACAAAATTGTCACCAATTGTGTCCTTCATGTTGTGCACCCTGATCAGTGACCTGATTGGTGACATGTACAGAACTGAGCCAGTCAGATTGGGTAGCTAATCAGGACTCCCTCATTGGTCAGATTGAAGTCATGAGACTGGTGCTCACCTGGAATGCAGGGTTATAGCAGAAGTCTTTGGTCTGTGCTGCATGTTCCCCACATTTCTTCCCTTCAAGCGTTCCCTGTCAGTTGTGAAAATAGACTTGGTTTCTGAAGGTTGGGTTGGGGTTTGGTCTCTTTTCTAGTCTATCCTAGAGTGAAAGGGCAACGGATATGGCTGAGAATGAATGTGTAGAGCATAACATCCAGTCCTTGGGGCATATGTCAAGGCATAGCTGGAACACATGCAGATTTATATCTAGTTGGTTTTGAGAATTCTCCACAATGATTGGCTAGGTGGACCTTGGTATCCATTTTTTGCTGTTGTTGTTTTTGTTCCAGAAAGATTTCATGTGGGTATCCAACCTGCTATGTGGATGAAGCTGAACTTGAACTACTTATCATCCTGCTTCCACTTCTAAAGCTCTGGGACTATGAGGCATAAACCCTTATTATGAGTAGAAACCCCTATTTAAATACAGGGTCTCCATTATTTCCAGACAGAAATTCAAAAGATGGAAAATTGAAAATAGATACTTTTTATACCTCTCAATTGGATCAAACAAGAGAAAAAAACAATTAGGGCCCATGGGGCATTTCAAAAGACCAACAAAACCAACAGCTGGGGCCTAGGTATATATAGAAAATGGTTGCTGAACACACAAGCAGCCATTGGTTCAATTATAAGTAGCAAATGCATCACTGTTATTGGCACATGCCTGTAATTCCAGACTTCTTGGGATATAGAAGTAACAAAAATTCAATGTTATATCCTGAGCTACAAAGAGAGTTTGAGGCAGGCTATGTCACAGGAAACTGTGTGTCTAGATAAATATACTCATGTAAGTATGTAAAATCATGTAGGAGGATTAGGTCAGACTGGTATGAGTAACTTTATCTGACACAGATCCTACCTGCCAGGTAGGAGATACATTGTGAGAGCAGTTTTCTCTCTTGTACCCTATCTATTTTTCCTCTATTTCTCATCAGAACACTATAGGCCTACCATGGATATCAATCAAGTAGCTGTGGTGTATCAAATTGCATTGATACTTGGTATCTGTTCTCCTAGTATAGCTGGACAAGGCAACCAGGTAGGAGGAAAGGGTCCCTAAAACAGGCCACAGACTCAGAGACAGCCCATGATCCCGCTGTTATGAGTCCAAAAGAATACCAAGACAAACAAATGTATATATGAATAGTGCTTAGGTCAGTCCCATGCAGGTTCTCCTTGGTTCTGGTTCAGTCTCTAAGCTTCTAGGAACCTAGGTTAGTTGATCCTGGTGGTTTTCTTCTGGTGTCTTTGATCCCTCTGCCCCCTACAATCCTTCTTCCCTATCTTCTGTAAGGTTTCTCCAAGCTCAGTCTTATGTTTAGCACCTGTTTCCATCATTTCCTGCGTGAAGACTCTCTGATGACAGTTGGTTTAGACACCAATCAATGAGTGTAGTGAAATATCAATAGGAATTCTTTCATTGACTTTTTTGTTAGTTGTGTTTGATTCTATTCTAGGTCTCTGAGTTATCCAGCCTCTGGGGCCTTGCCCTCCAAGCAGTGTCAGGGGTAGGTTACCTTTCAAGGTATGGGTCTCAAGCTCGACCAGTCTTGGCTGGACACTCCCAAAAGTTCTTCACCACAGTTTTCTCAGCACACCTTTCTGTTTGCATATTATGTATCACAAATTATTTTAAATAATGATCATTCTCCTAAAATGCAATCATTCTCTTTATGTGTTAGTTTGTGAATCCCCATTGAAGAAAATTGTAGTCATCTATTCCTTCTTATGCTCTTGGTGACCAGTACGTTAAAGCTAAGTGCCATAAGCTCCTCTAAATTGCCTCAGCTAATGAGGTTGGATATGTTACACAAATTTCAACAAATCCTCAACTGACTGTCCCTCTGGGGAATTTTCCTCTTCATATCATTTTTGTGCATTTGTATCAGTATAAAAATCTACAGAATCCCCATTGCAGGCAGACACAAGTAGAGGAAGAGTTCTTTTCACAGACCTCAGCAATGGTTCCACCCCTCTGAGACTTCTCCCTGTCCTTCAAGTCTTCATTGACCCACCCTCAGTCTTTCTGACCCCAAACACAAATCTAAGCCTACACTCCATGGAAGAGGGCAAATGCAACCTACAAATACCTGCCATCCCTGATGAAACATTACACAATATGGAACTCCTGCTCATTTCATCAAAACATCGAAATTTGCAAGGCTGGACCTATGATTTACGTATTAAGAAAACTGACTTCTTCCAGAGAACCAGCTTAAAATCCCAGCACATGCATAGAGGCTCACAATTATCTCAGGGAACCTGCCATGCTCTTCTTTCCTGTGGGGACAGTGCACACATGTTGAACAGACCTATATACAGTCTGTAACTACTCATACTCAAAGCACCACTACACAGAAATCACTGAATAGATTTTTTTTAAAGCTGTGGCTGCATGTACCACATTGACTCTGACAAAACCAACACACGAAAAGGCATGTGCTTATCATAATTGAGCACAGCATTCAGTGTTGGAAATAACAGTCTAGAGATTATCTTCTACACAACTAAGTTAAGATAATCACATTGCCCTATGCATTGGTAGTAATTTGATAATTTATACAAGTTTCCTCCCTTACACTCAAATAAACCTAAGAAATTTCTCTAAAGTCTTTCTAAATATTTATCTAATTGATACAAGTAACAGTGGGCTTTTAAAAATGTGTGTATACACGTACTTTTTTCCTTAGCTT